ACTACACCCAAAGCATAGGACCGAGAAACACAGTAGGGGTGGCACATAAGGAATAATGTGAGCAGCAGATCTTTCCCTCTGACAAAATAGATATATGAAATCGAGGGTTTCATGTTTTCTAACATATAAACAGAGGAATAAGAACAGATAATATCTTGAAACTATGCTGAATTCCTGAAGCATAATAAGTCGTACAGTAACGTCATTTTTGTCCGTATCTAAGACTATGGAGGATGCTATAAGGGGAGTCTCGTTATTCACCAGAGTGGAATGTAGAATGTTAAGAAGTATTCATAACCCCTTTTATGCATAAGAGAGTATAAGCATATACAATGCATACATTGCCCTATTGACATAAAGACATACCATATAAAGAAGTCTTACAGAGCCATAGAGTTATGAAATTTTTCTGAAAAATGGAAGGAAGTGAATAAATACCTGATCATTTTGGCAGTGATATGGTTTTTATCTCAGTTTTAAGTGTAAAGTTATCTGGGCATATGAGCGGTAATAGAAAGGTTCCCTCCCTTAATAATAAGGAGTCAAATAGTTTTATGAACCTATTGTGTGTTATTCCAAGTGATTAACTAAGCCAAATTTTCGAAAGGATTCGTGAGTTGTTGTGGGGATAATCTGAGTAAACAGAGAAATATTTATGTTTCGATACATTCTCCTAATATACCTTTACCCACCAAATAAAGAAAAGATGACTGTTTAAATAGCGGGGTACAAAATATTGTGGCTTATAGGATATTTTCTTTGCTATATAACATATCATGAGGGATGATAAAGGAACAGCTGTCGTGACCTGCTAAGGAGTAGATAAGCAAAAGGATATAACATAGCCGGCAAAAATAATATAATGATTAGAAATTTACTGATAGGAAATAGTGTATATTATAAGAGAAACAGAGGAACAAAACAGAAGACCAAAGGAAAGGAAAGAGAGAAAAAAGGAATATGGAAATTATGCCATAATAAAATAAAATAAGCCGTACACGCCCATAAGTGGGACCAGCTAGTGTGAACCAGAAGAAAGGGTCACAAAACAAGCACAAACAACTAAGAGGAGGTACCCAGAATAACCAAAGGGGAAAAACAATAAACACTGAAACAGGTTTGATAAGGCATAGGAAGGGATCAGAGGTATGGAGACGAACATCATAGAAGAATCTTTAGAATGATGAGTATACAGTAATTACTAAAAAAAGGAGGAATAGAGGACCAAACAACAACAAGGGACAAAAAGGAACAAGGATAAGAATAAAACCAGAGCCGAAGTATCCAAAATTTACCTCCAGTATACCTTTACAAGACTAAACCCTATGGAAAATATAGAGTCATATATTATCACATACCAGAAGAAGACAAAACAGGAAGTAATACGGACATGGGAAGGAACGGGCAACCAACTGGACAGAGGGAAATTAATCTTACAGATTCAGCCGTGGGGGAGAATCAAAATATCCTTGTCTGCGAGCCTCCCCCTAAGCAGGAATAAGATACAATCATTAAAAATCTATATTATAAGAAAGCTAGACACGACCCCAAAACAAACAAACAATGAGGATAAGGGTGATCTAACAATAATACTAATATATATAAAACCCGAAGAAGAAACAACCAGGATCCCAGGAAAACTAGGATCAGTAACAATAGGTATATATAACGAAAAGAGTTATCAGAAGTTACCTAAGAACTCTATGGAATACTTATAAAGTATAGAATTAATAACCAAAGAAACCTGCCAAATAGAAGGAACACCCTTGATAGGCCAAGCAGGAAGAACAACAAGACTACGCGTTATAGACTAATATGAAAGTATCTCTATATGGAGGGAGGATAAGGACTGTAGCCCCTAGACTAATTAATAACACTAAGAGAACGACAAAACCATATATAATCTAGGAAAACAATCGACTTAAACCCCAAAGGAACTACCAGGCTAAGGGAAACAAAAACCCAGCTCCTAAGATATAGGAAAAATTAAATAAAAGTAAGTGACCAGAGGAACCTAAAGGGCGATTAATAAATACAGTAGCAGAGATCATAGCAGATGAAAGTATTAGTGACACCATCAGCTTAAATACAAAAATATCGAAGAAAATTAAGAAGGAACCAAAAGGACGAAGCCAGAACCGACCAGGGCACCAGAGAATTCATAGCGAAGGAGAAACTAAATCCTAAAACATAGTGGTTTAGCGTTAAAGCAAGGGCAACTGAAGCTGCTAAACGAGGTAGAGTTAAGAATACAGAAGAAATTGATTGAAGGAAGAATATAAGAGTAGGCAACAAATCCCTAAAATAAGAGATGAGGCGAACGCTAAATAAAGGAGAAGAGACAAGTCTGAAACCTAGTGATCCCCTCAAGTTATTAAGACAGAGGAGATCTCTAAGACTGTGTCATATGACCTAAAGAAGATATAAGACTTTATTGAGTGGACCCCCACAAAAATCTGACCCCAACCAGCAAGAACTACCAACCCAAAAGCAGCATGGGAAATACGCGCCCAATCCAAAAGCAAACAGAGGAGTGGGGGTGAAATAATGAAGAAGAGGACAACCCCGGAGAGTAACCTAAAAGCAGTACGTTGCAGACCCAAATGAGGAGACGAGTGGAGTCCTCCCAGGAAGCCAATATGAAAGCTAAACTCTTGAGAGGAATACAAACCAGGTGTTTGGAACCCGCCCCCCTGCAAAATATGAACCGAACAAATAAAGGACCCGAAGTGAAACAGGTATAAGGCTTTTCACTTATAAGTGGAATAAGGAGAAAGTCAGAGACAAGAAACAACTCCCTAAGGTTACAGACGATAAGCCAAAAGCGAATGACCCCCTAAGAAGGAGACAGATACAAGACAACAAACACACGAATAAGAAAACCCAGGAGTAGGACGGCAAGTCCCAGGAAAGTGGAGTCTCAAGAGAAAAGAAGAAACGAATTCACCGGGCAAGCCAGACTAAGGACAAATAAACACCTCCAAAAGACAAGGACTAAGTGAGCAAGATGCTTTTACAAGTGAAGGATTTGACAGCCGCCACAACTCCCCCCGCACCATCAGCGAATTGACTGCCACCCATGACCTAACCAAGTACTAACCCAACGAGCAAGAACGGAAAATAGCTCTATAAATAACCCCTGATCATTGAACTAAACTCCACGAAAGTATAGGAAGTGATACAACACCGAAAAAGGAAACAGTAATGAAGAGGACGAAGAAATAGAACAATTCCGAGTTGATCCTCTTTGCAGTGTCGCCCTAAAAAATCGTCAGAACAGGCAGACACCAAAAACAGGAGTAAAAGACCGAGCAGGATGAATTAAAGCGGGGGATAAAACTACCAAAGACTCCATCTCCTTAAGGGAAAACTACATGGAGTACCTGTAAAGGCACTGAAACAAAAAAGCCGAGAAACGGAGGAAATACATTGTAGCCAAAGCAGAAATCGAGTTCACCCAGGAGCTTTACAGTCACGACGGAACAGGAGGAGGTAAGTATAATGGAGGTAGACTCCCAACTCAACTCGTCTATATCCAGAACGGAGCGGAGATCCGAACTTCAGCTGGGGGAATTTCAACAGCAGAGGGCAGAGGATGGGATAAAGTAGGAAATACAAATAGTAAACTGAACAAACGACAACAATTAGCAAACATCCAATTCAAGAGGATGCCACAAAGACCAACTTATCAATCAACTGAGATATCCAAGATAACGTGGTTAAATCTCTCGGAAACTCCCAAGGGGGAAGACATGCTGAAAGCATCTTGAACAGGCTAATTCTATACACGTTCCAAAGGAAACCAGGAACCCTCCTCACCCCGGAAGACGCAAATTCAGGGGTTAGTACAAGGGGTAAATTTAGGGGGAATCCAAATTAACAAGTCAACGTAGCCCAGCTCAGGAAAAAGCAAGGAACGAATCCAATGAACAAGTAGCAAAAATACTCCCGAGAACTGAGGGCACCCCTGATGTGATAAGTTAGGACACGAGCGAACACAAATTCCATCCCACTCTCTCTAAAGGATAATCAGACCTAAATCTACGCATACAAACTAGCGAATAACAAAAGGAGAAACACCATGAGCATTACAGTAATAAATATACTGCAAGACGACGGATTATCCCAGATCGGAAAAATAATCCACCTCTCAGCAATACAGCAAGAGGAAGTTCTACCGAATCTCTAAAGGCCGACCACACAAGTTGTCATCATAAACAGTAAGTTCTCGAGCCGTACTCCAGGACAAAACTCGCAAAACTCCCGAGCTAAGACGAGAGCGAGTAGAGCGTCCAAGTCGCCCCGCTCCTCCAAACGGGCAACTTCCACCATCCCAGGAACGCAAGAAGAAGATTTTTTCATCAAATCAACAGAGGAGGCGTGAATAAGTAGCAGGGTGAGGGAAAAAATGACCGGAAAGAAATCAGCGAACGGAATAGAGCCATAAATTACCAAGGGAGACCTCAGAGGAAAAATGAAAGAAAGACTGGGCCTATGCAACCAAAAGGAAACACTGAGTGAACAAATCCCTCAACGAAATGGTTAATATTGGAGCGGAGCAGTTACAGATAAGGACATAATGAATAAAAAAAGAAAAAAAGGAGTCCGCAGAAGGCAATGGTTGCCAAGAAACAGTAGGAGACAACAATTCTCCATCACCCAAAGAAGGTACTGAGAAGGACGCTATTTCACTAGAGCAGTAAAATTAGAAGCTATATCCTCAAAGAAAAGAACCCGACTGAAGATATAAAAGCAAGTTAACAACTAGGATTGCCGGATCTCCATTCCAAACCTGAACTAAAAATATATTAGCAAGATACAAAACAACTAGAGAAGGACAACCCGGACTCACAAACATTAGAAAAAAAGAAGAGATAATGATACTACCAGTGATTGACATCAAGTAATCAGGACGGCCTCAGCAGATTAAGGGGAAAAACAAGGGGCGAAATCATGAGAAGGATAATCAAGAAGTAATTAAAAAAAGGAAAGCAAGTAACCAGAAGAGCACCAAAACAAGGACTCTCTAAGAATTAAGTGGGATCTCCTACCCAAATGAACTCAAACATGGAAATAGGACTCCCGAGGGACAAAGCCAGCGATAGGAGAAGGTAGCCCGAGCGGCAACACAAACCACCACACTCCCGATGGGCAGTAGAGAGATAAAGAGAGGAAAAAACCCTACATTACAACCCCAAGGTACAAAAGAGAGATAATGACGCAGGACAGTTCCAAGAACAAAAAGAGAATTCATTCCTCCTCATCTTCCATGAAGATCTGATACCTTCGAAACCCTCAAACACAAAATATCTGAGGGGATGAACAGAAGAGGAAGACTAGGCGTATAAATAGAACTTCAGGAAGAACGCGCCCAACTAGAAAGTATAGATCATCCAACGGAGTGATAGGGAACAAGTTCTGAGATCTATGGGAAGGCGCATCATAAAACACCGAAGTACAAGTTACACATGATAAAAGAATAACTCTGTAAGAGTGCCCTAGATGAAAACACGAAAACAATCCCAAAACCTCTCTTTAGGACAAAAGCTGGATTTTCACGCCCAGGAAGTAGCAATAGAATGATATACAAAAGGAGTCCTCCTAGACACAACTCAGTCGTGGACACCCGAAGGAGTCTCAACCCCTAAGGAACAGGAACCAAGAAGTCTCTCTCACCAAATTTCACCTCGAGATAAAAACAGATCTGAACCCCTCCCTCACATTAGGATTATAAGCCACTAAGAGTAGAGGCCAGAAAGAATTATTAAGAAATCCAAGGCCACAAGACTAGAACATATCAGAGTAATTGACTTATCCCAGGAGCAATATAAGATGAAACACTGAGAAGAAAATCGACTGGTTCTAGTTTTCGGCATCTCCTTAAAGACTCTGCAACCCAGTCTTCCATAATCGAGTTACTGGGGTGCCGGCAGGGAAATAACAGACGGCCGTTCCATTAGGACTCGTTAAAGGACTATAGAATCAAGACATCTAGGAACATTACAGCGCGCAACCGAAGCAATTCGGAAGACACCAGTATACGTCCTTGCTCATTAGAGGCTGAATGCAAATAGCAGAGTATGGCGTCAATTCATAGTCTCGAAGTAAGTCACTCAGATAAGGGACGAGGTCAACTCCGAGAATAAAGTCCAAGAGATAAGTTCCCGCCACTGATGCTCAGCAATAAGGCAGAAGCGAGGGAGATGCCGAACAGTTCCTTTAATACCATTCATTTAGAGTAGGGGAGACTTAATCAATGAGTAATTAGTCCGAGGAAAATTCAGCACAAATATCGAAATAGAACACCCCAATATTGGAGAAGAAGAAGAAGCAGATGGGAGTAGAGAAGAATTAGTAGTTCTGAATTAAGTATAGTAGTGGATCAAGTAAGAGGTCCTTTTAGTTACCAAATTGAACGAGTAATTCCGGACCGAATCTTTCGATAGCTCATAGGAGCTCAGACATCGAAGACGGATGGAAATTTATGAGTTATAATAAGGAAATAAACTTAAGAAGATAACAGAAAGGCATGGGCAATGAGAAACGGTCCAGCGCACAAGTAAGTGGATGTTTACGTCGTGACCAGTTTAAGATATTTCAGATACGAATCGATACCAAGAGATAGAGGGGAAATACATGAGAATTAAATCCGGGAGCTGAGCCAGAGCAGACCCAGCCATCCAAGCAGGATATAGCGTAAGAGAGCAGGTATTAAGAAAAACAATATGCCGGGCACTTATAAGTAAGAGGAGAGGGGACAAAATAAGCTAAAAACACAGAGAACAAGGGAATTTTCGTGAAGAATTTCTTCTCCAGACAAATAAAATAGGGGTCCACGACTTTGAGGAGGCCCAAATCAGTAGCCGCTGTCCCGCACAACAGGGCAGGAGTTACTAAAAACAAGAAGTGACTACTAGCCCATACCCCAAGTCTCACGCTAGAGCGGAAGGGTATTAATTATTCCATATCTTTCTTTTCATTCATATACTAAACAAATCAGGATGAGGGTTAGAACAACGCGAGAGAGGACAAAGAGGACCCCACCCAGGAGTAGCGAGGAGGGTAGTACAAACCGAGAGCAACCCGAGGAAATTAGGAGACTTCAGAGACCTTCCCAGAGATCAGGTTAGGTCCCACTAAAGATAAGAACAGGGATAAGGTCAGCGATTCCTCATATTGATAAAGTCGCGCAGGTTGAGGACTAGAAGGAAGAAACATTTCCTCAAGATATTTCTGAAAGACAGCAAACGTCCAAAATAGGACATATGGGAGTCACAATATCTGAGTGCCTTGGATCACATGGAAGAATCTAGTAACTCATCGAATATCCGTAATAGGAGGCAGGATTCAGTCACCTCCCGATGGGACACGCCGAGGATGAAACCCAAGGAGGACCTAGAATTTCTTTAGAGCTCGTGCTATACTTTAAGCAGGTCAATTCATGGGAGTTAACCCGCGTCAGGCTTCAGTAACTGCAGGATTCCAGACCAACAGCCTCTCTAACAGGAATAACAAAGCAGAATACGGAGCCGCCATACAGCTACGCATGGAAACACCAGGGAACCAGGTCAAGGCACCAGCCTGATTTTAGTCCTACCGCTCTACCCTTGAAGATATTCCGTAGTTTCCGAAAAACGGGACGAAGCTGGTCAGTCAATAGTCTTTATTTCCGCGAGATTCTTATAAATCTAGAAGGGACAGCTCAAAGTTTGTGGAAACAAGATACGGTCTCATGAGATGGACAGTAACTGTAGCTGACGAGAAAGGAGAAGATGTAGAGGAGGGATAAGGGGAAAATGGACATAAAAGATAGAAAAAAATGATACCCCGTCAGAAGGTTCACCAGTGATCCGTTCAACTAGGATAGGCACCATTTATGACCTTAGTTATGAATCCCCACAAATCCCTCTGGAGGTGAGACACAAGAGCCCAAAATAAAGACTAATAGTTCAGGAGGTTAAGGCGAAGAATACAGCAGGATGTGACCCGGAAGCACAAGTCTCCTTTAGAAGCCCAAACTTTGACTGACAAGGGAGCAGGCGTGGATCAACCCGGAAGTTCCTTCTCGCCGAAGAATAATTTACTGACTGAGGATACAGGCAGAGAGAGTACAGGCCCTAATCGACCGAACATGGGGTTACCATATCAGGGAGTCTCCTTCAAGAACTATATGTTATCTTTGACCAACAGAGTTACGGGCACATTGTCTGAGATAGAAGATGTCTCAGAGGAAGCCAACGGGCGAAGATTAGGAATATTGAGTAAAGATACAGATGAAATAATCGACGTATGGAATTGGTTCGAGCAGGGAGGCCACGACAGTACAGCAGTCAGAAGGTTATGGGAGTATAGTCTCAGAAGTTGTATAAAGCTAGAAGCCTGGTGGAATAATTTGCAAAATAAGGGAGTATCCGAGGGCAGATATGATCAGGGACCATGTCATATCAATGAGATCCAAGTGGGAGGGGGACAGATAGGATTTGGGACAGATTGTCAGATACACAAAAGCGAATTAGCATGGAACCAGAAAGGGTCTTTGCGGCATATCCAAGGGAAAGGTCAAGAAAATCGTAGTTTAGCTATCTGTAGGGATCTGGTGACTCAGGTGATGTTAGCGTTTGAGATGATAAGTAGCAGTACCCAGAGCCGAGATAAATTAAAGCAGGAGAATCCCTGCATGAGATTATATCGAGGCTTAGTACAATGGGGAGGGGAAGCCGTAGCCCATGAAGTAATGAAGGATTGGTTTACAGGCGAAGGAAACTGCATGGGGGGCGGAGGATTTTCCTCATGTTTGAAGGGTTTAGATTTATATGAAGTTGTAAGTGAAATCTTATATGGATACCAGAAAGGAGATAAAAATATAAGTTGCCAAAAGGTGCCTAAGGAGATCTCCGATGAAAAAACCGAGCAGGAAGAATACCGTCTAAGTGGAGTAGAAGGGGCCTCCTTCTCTAGCTGTGCTTCAGGTGGCCAAACGTGTGAGGATAGGTTAAGAGTCCATGACGGAGAGGTAGAGCTTCATGATTTAACCACACCGGCCGAGCTCACCGAGAGAAGTCAGGGAAGGGGGGACCCCTCTCCTGGATTCCCTGTAGGACATAATTCAGGGACTTCTGGGATGAGTGGAGATTCCAAAATGAGACATGAGAATGAGGAGTCGTATGATAGTACTGGTCAGATGTTACAGAATGATGTCAAAAGAGTTTTTTCAGATCGTGTGCCCCTGGCCGAAGTTTTGGGGGGAATATTGGCTTCCTTAGGTTCTGTGGCAGCACTTTATGGATATTATAGGATATATTATTTAGGTAGAGGCCGTCAGCGGAAGTGCAAGAGTTCCAGAGGGAATAACATGGCGGTTACCTATGCGTCATTATGAGGAGGGCAGAGCCTCTGAGGGGGGGGTTTGTTTTGGGCGCCTCGTTGTGAGTCCTGGGTTTAGGGTTTGGAGTTTGGGGTCTACGGTCCAGGCTTAAGGGTTTACTGATTAGGTTTAAAGGATTAGGAGTAAGGTTTAGTGTTTAGGATTCTGATTCTAACGTTCTGGGTTAAGATTCTCGCATTCAAGCTTCACTTTTCAGCCTTGGACCGTTAGGGTTCGATTTCTACTGGTTAGGGTGTACGATCGGATTGTCAGGGTTCAGGGTTTAGCGTTTAGGGTTTAGTGCTTCTGGTTTAGGGGTTAGTGCCTCTGGTTTAGGCATTCGGTTTTATGGTTCATTTATCAGGTTTAGGGGTTGAGCGTTTAGGTTTAGGGTTTAGGGTTTCAGGGTTCAGGTTTAGGGTTCAGGGTTCAGGGTTCAGGGTTCAGGGTTCAGGGTTCAGGGTTTAGGGTCTAGGTTTAGGGTTCAGGGTTTAGGGTATAGTTCGGTATGGTTCAGGTTTATTCTTGGGGGTTAGGGTTCAGGGTTTACTGGTGAAGGGGTTATGATTTCAGATTTAGGGTGTACTGTTTAGAATTCAGTATGTACGGTTTAGGGTTTATGGTTCAGGGGGTCAAACGTCAGGCTTATGCTTTACCCTTTAGGCTTCATTTTCATGTTTTACGTTTCTTCTTTACGATTTTGGATCTAGGGTTGTTCTATCAGGTTTAAGCCCTTACGCTCCAGGGTCCCGATTGTTGGGTATTGTTGTTTAGCTCTAGGGTTTAGGGTCTTTTGCTCATATTTTAACTTTGACGCTTCAGAAATGTTGGTCTACACTTTAATCTTCAGGTGCTATTAGCCTGTTTAGATTTTTAGATTTTGTCTTCTCGGTTTGAGTTGGGGTTTACGTTTTATTTATTGGGGCTTATGGGTTATTCTTTAATACTTATGTTTGTTGTTTTATGGTTCAGTTCCTAGTGGATGTTATCCATATTTTGCCTCTCGGCCTTAAGGTTTCTTCTATATCGTGTTGCTCTGACATGTTGGAATTATTTCGAAGTTTTCTTGTGTTCTGACTTAGGGTTGCTCCTCTCTTTCTCCAAGTTTAGGTTTCATGTTGTAAGCTTCAGAGTGGCTTTCTCTGGTGTCAGTTTCTAGACCTTTACGGACAAGGGCCTACGCTGTATGACTTAAGGGTTAGGGTCCAGTAGCACGTTCTCCGGAATCATGCATCCAGGGGGATGTCTCCAGGTTGGAATTTTTAGGAGTTCTGGGTTTAGCGGGAAGTCTTCTGAGATTATTTTTCATGTTCCTGGATTTTTCCGTTTCGGATTTAGCTTCCTCGTTTTACGTCTTAGGGGTGTAGGCTTTACTCTTCTATTATTAGTGACTTAGGCTTAAGTTTGTGGTTCATATTTGGGGGGTCAGGGGTTTCTTTATTACTCAGGGAATACATTTTAGGGTTTATGGTTTAGATTGTTATCTTCTGCACTCCAGGCTGTAGCGTCCGAGGTTTTTCTGTTTGTTCTACTGTTTACCTGTTCGGGGTTTATTCCTTTTTTAGGCGTTATCCTTTAAGTTTACGCTTCTGCCTTGAATTTTGCTATTGGGTTCTTTCTTACTTGAGACGGTTGATACCTATTCTCACTTCTACGATTACGGTGTCCTTATGTTCTGAGCTGTGTGGTGGAGGCCTCATTTATCTGGTTGAGGTTTTAATCTTCAGGCTCTGGTACTCAGTTGTTGTCCTCAGCCAGTTTGATTGCATGTTCCCCTTCTCCTTTCTTCCTCTTAGAATCTTCTACAGTTCACTGCTAAGATTCCCAGGGATTCATCCTGAGTTTTCAGGGTTTACGGACTAGGACTCCGCCTCAGATCTGTTGTGTCATTTCATATTTTTAGTAGTCGCTGTCTCGATGCTGGGATTTATCCTCTATGGTCCTTGGTTTATGTTCTAGTGACTGATGGGCTTGGGTGTGTGGTTTGTTCGTTTTTACCGTTGAGTTTTCATCCTTCAATGTGTAGGCTAAGGGTTAATTCCTCAGTCCCTCAGGTTTGAATTTGTATATTCTTATTCTTAGTGGTTCTGTGTTTAGGGTATTTGGTTCAGTGGTCATGGGGCTGCGGGTACTGTTTAATATTTAGGGGTTATTTTTCGAAGTTCAGAGTATAGTTTTGACTGTTTCCTGTTTAGGGTTTACTCGTATATGGCCTAGTTCTCATGTTTCAGTATTATCACCTGAGTGTACTACCAACCCCTATTGGTTATGGCTTATATCAGAGGTCTATATCTATGTCATGCTCTCCGATTCTGGTTTCAGTACATCCTCCCTATTTTAACCCCCCGGGGTTCACCTTTGGGGTTTTAGTTTCTGGATTCTATCATCTATCCCTTTTTAACTTGTCCCGTATGGACGATATGCTATTCCTAGATTTCTTGGTTGGACGCTGAGGATTCATGATTTTCCCTCGGTTGGTTTTGTTGGGTGTAGCGGTCAGGCTTTATGGTTTAGGCTGGCATTTCATACTTTACGACCTATCGTTGTGAATTTGGCCGTCTTGATTTAGATCTGTTGTTTAATCATGGATGTTGAGGGCTTTGGCCTGTCGTAATTTGGTTGTAAGGGGGCACTTATACTTTGTAATGTAGGGGACTCAAAATTATCGGGCGCCGCTTTCTGTAGTTTGTATGGCTTACGCTCATATCTTTTCAGTTGATTTTTTGCTGTTAGGGACTAGGCCTAGTTCTATGCTTCAGACTCCCTCTTTATTGTCTACTGCTCCCCGATCATTCTGTTTCCTCTACTAGTTGCCCTGGGGGGTTCGTTTCTCCTCTCCTACTTGTTATGCTTAAGTTATAATTTCCTGAATGTATGTCTTCACGTTCTTCGGTTTATGGGTTATAATTTTGAGGCTTCCTCTTTCCACTAAGACACAATGTTCTAGGGGTTTGCCTTCCGCTTCGACGCGTAAGGTGCACATTTAGCCTTCATCTTCAGCGTGCAAGCCTATTTCTTTAAGTTCAGAGTTTATTGTTTAGGAGGTGACTTCCCATTGTTCGGTTTGTGTATTTTTTGGTTATTGTTGTTGCAGGTACTTTTATCTTCTTAGGTATCATTTATTAGCCTGTATTTTTTAGCTCCGAATGATTAGGTTTCCGATGTTTGATCCAGGATCTGCTGTTTCAGCCTTCTTCTTCCTGTGTTAATTTCTAGGCTTCCATTTTTATGGGGTTTCAGGTAGGCCTTATGGCTTATTTATGATGAAGTATGCCTGATGTTTCATGCACTGTGTTGCACATGCAATGCTTAGGCGTAAAGATTGGAAGTGTATATTGCAGAAGTAAGTTGTCAGTTCCTGCCCCTTCCCCTTATTATATGGTTTCTAGGGCGTAGTGCTTAAGCTGTGCTTTTGGCATTCTTGTTCAGGCTGTACGTTGCTCTCATTATTGCTTATGCTTGCTCTGCATCTGTCACCTTCCTGTTGTGCTTAGGTTTCTGTAATTCTGAGGGCTCCTACCTTATGGAGTTTTGCTAAAGAGTACATTTTTTCCTATATGTCTTACCTATATTCTCTGGTTTTTACGCTTCTAGGGTACGTAGTTAGGTTGCAGGCTGTAAGCACCTGTCTCACCCGGGTATGATCCATGGAATCACGCTCTTGGCTTATGATGATGTGAGTTGTTGTTAGGTTTTATTTTTCACTCTGTATTCTTTAATGTTCAGGAGTAATGCTTTACTCTTTATCCTCCTGGTCCCACTGCTGAGTGCAGTGGTCATGCTCTATCCTGTATGTTTACGCCTCCAGGTGCCCGTGTATTGCTGGGGGGCTGTTTTTACTTCTTATTGTTTATTAGTATTGCCGGATAAGTTATCTTAGGCGGGTAAGATTCATTGATTAGGCTCCTTTGATACTGTGATCATCCTTAGGTTTTTAGGATTTAGGGTGTAGTGTTCGGGTTGCAGGTTTTGGGCACTAACCTGTATACCTCATGGCTTAGCTCTGACGGCTTAAGAGTGAGGCCTGTAGCTTAGCGTGTACTGGCACTCTCTAGTATTTATTCCTACAGTTAATTCTTTATATATGCCTCGTTATTTCTGCTTCTTGCTGTTATTTTTTATCTCCTTAGTCTTAGGATTCCTCGCTGTATCTTGACGGTTTACGGTTCAGATTCTATGGTCGCGGATGCAGTTTTACTGTTTACCACTGATCGGATACCCTTAGGGTTTATTGGTGCTTGAGGAAGTGTAGGGTGGTTCTCGCACGCTGTAGGTTTACGGTGTATACCGTTCATGTACGCGGCACTGCTCAGGTGTTTGCGTTACTCCTCATGTTGCAAGGTGTTGTGGTGTATTTGGTCCTATTATTCTTCAGAGTATTTGCCCGAATGTTTTTGCGTTAGGCATCATTTTTAGTTTTTACAGGTATTAATTTGGGGCGCCATTGTGTATTGCTTTTTCTTTACTCCTTATGGTTTTGATATGTTTTGTATTAATTGGTTTCCAACGTCGAGTCTTTGTGTCGTATGATTTATTGTGCAAGCTTTATGGTTAAAGGCTTATGCTTCCTGTTTGTGGTTCTGTCATCAGCCGCTAAAGTCTATTTTTTACGGTTAACCATTTAATGCTGTTCCCTCGGGATTTACAGTTGGGACTATAACCAGCCCCTCACAAGCATCATTGCCCACTCTGGGTCCCCATGTGGTGCCCGTTCCCCCTGGATTTACTTTATTATTTCCTTCTTCCTGTGCTAATGGTGCGCCCCTTGCTTGTCTTTAAAGCGCTTTCTCCTACTTTCTCTTCATGGTTTCCTTTTAGTTGTTTGGGAAGATAGACGAAGAGATATATTCGTAGATTCCCTATTATTCTCCCCATATTCAATATATCTTAAGCGTGTTAATATAAAGATACGGAACAATCAATGTTTAGACTCTGCCCCCTTCCTGTATTGAGATATATACACAGGGGCAACAGTCTTACTGACCTAGGCCTATTTCCTTGGCTGTTTTATTCTC